CTCCACTCATTTCCATCCATATTACTCATGTTCACTCATATTATGAGTGTGATGTGTATGTGTATGATGCGTATGATGCGTATGATGTGTATACTCGGTATGTAGAAGCCACACGTCCTAGTAAACAACGGACAAAATGTGCCTCGAACTTGTGGACTTGTACATACTCACCCAGGGCCCTCTGGAGCCTTTGAGCCTTTGAGCCTTTGAGCCTCAGAGCCTCAACTTCAGATAAGCAAGAATATGGATGCACAGGTGAGACAAGGTGTAAAAAAAAAATAAGTGTATATACAAGAAAACGCCATTCACCTCTTTCGGTTTCTTGACAATCATCGCCCTGGCGGCACGAGACTGGCTTTTCCCCCATGCTTCGATCGATTTTGGTATTCCCCCGCCCACCCAGTCCTTCGGATTTGAATGAAGCATTGCTCAGATGAAAGCCTCCCTTCTGGTCGTTGTGAAATAAAAGCATGCCTCCCCTCCTCTCCTCCTCATCCTGGTCCACTTCCAAAGTCCTGGGTATAATAAAAAGGCGTCTCGTACCGTCAAAATCAAAGGAGTATTGTCATCCGTCGCACCCCAACAAATCATTCTATACCCAATATCACGCAATGTACCATGGCCATCGTGCACGGCAACCAACATCCCCTCCTGTGATTAATCCCATGACCAGTTCGATCCCAAACCCGGTCATGCATATCATAAGCTTTCAGGGCTCATCATGCTTGCATCGCCGTCTCCAATCACACCATGCACTTTTTCGACACCATTAACCTGAGGCATCTCGCCGTTGACACCATCCATCATATCCAAAGCATCCACAGCCGGAGGTAGTGTGTTTCCGTCTTGATTCTTGTCATTACCCGGACCTTTGGGAACCTCAGTCGTCGAAGTTTTCGCTTTCAGCACAGGCTTCTGTTTCTTCTCAGGGCTCCCATCCCCACCAGGACCTGGTGATGACGGAGTGGCGTTTCCAATGCCATTGACCATTGGACTATCGTCAACCACCCCGTTGGCGACGACCGACTTTCTCTTGCCTTTGTCACCCGGTGTGGCGCTTCCCACCGCACCTGTAGCAGCCTTTGCAGCGTTCGCGGCATTCTTGTTAGCTGCCGCCTTTTTCTGGGGGCTGTTGTTGTTCTTGAGCGTGCCCTCTCCAATCTTCCCGGATGCTGGAATTCGCGCCCTCCCATGGCCGGGCCTTTGCTTTGGTGGCAGTTCTAGATCCTCCACTAGAGGGCGCTCGCCGTTATCGTGGAGGCGTTTCTTGAGCCACTCTCTAATGATACCAATCTGCTCCTCCACATTCTCGACGGTGATCTTGGGCCAACGGGGCGGTTCCACGAACATCTTCTCCGCCGACTCTGCCGAGTTATCTTGCTGATTGCTGAGCCCGAGACGGTTCTGAAGAATGTGGAATGGTACTGTAAGACTGGCCATTCCGAACTCCTTATCGAGTCCCAGTTCGCGGAAGCCGAAGAAGTCTTCGTCAAGATCACCTGCAAAGTCTCCGCCGACGTACTGCTCTCCACCATCTGCAAATGATCCTTGTCCATGAGCAGTTTCGTCGGTCAACGCTGGTCGAAGGAGGTCGGCGAGATGTCCTTTCATTCGCTCATGCATCATGGTGAGTTTACTGGCCGTCCTATCGATATCTTCTCGTGCATACACGTCCAGGTCATTAAGAGATATACCGCCTGTGTGCAGAGAGTGGAGGATTGCCTCCTCCGTGGTATATGGAGGCTTGTACACCACCTTGCTGTCCTCACCCTGGGCCACGGGAACGGTAGTCGGCACGGAAATCTTATAGTCTTCTCTGTAGTTCACCAGGGTCGAGCATAGTCGCTGGAAAAAGTCTGCTGCCAGGTCCGTCATCGCATCGATCGCCGACGGCTGAAACTCTTCAAACCCTGCGTGGAAGAAAATTTCCCCTATTGATCGTTGGAATGCCGCCTTACAGACCCACGGAGCCATGACAGGCCCATCATCGGACATGACATGGTTTGGAATATCTGCCTCGACGAATGGTTCTGGTTGGTACTTCTGGAACTGGTTTTGATAGGTCTGCGACTGGAGTTGCATCTGCTTGACAACGCTGATCTTCGAAACCACCTTCCGCGTGTCTTGCATTTGTCGCATGTTGTTCTCGATCGTTTTAGCTAGCTTGCCGCGCGGGGCCACGAATTGCCCAGGAGGATACAATCGGAGAAACTCCTCGGCGTGTTCGATGACATATCCTTCAGAGTCTTGGTCCCATCTCAGTCGGGGGTTGATGTCAGGTATGGCCGAGAGCGAATCGTAATAGTCAGGGAGCATATTCTCCTCCTCGACTTCCATTCCCTCGGCGAGGGTTTGGCCATGAATTTCAACCCTGTTGTCCCGTTCAGATGCCTCAGCCCCAAGATCGGCAGCATCTTGGCCCGCAGCTTCTCGTTGCATACGCTGCCACCTGCGCATGCCAGCCTTACTTCGCAATAATGCTGTCTCCTCGGCATTCAACTTGTCTCCACGGAAAAGCTTGTGTCGCGCGGCCGCGAGCATCGCGCGATCCTTCTTCGTCTTCTGTTTCCAGAGCTTATATTCCTCATCTTCATACTCAGGTATCGGTGCTGATGAAGGCAGTGCGGGTAAATCCAAATCCATTGCTTCACTACCGCCTCCTGCAACACTACCAGGCCCGGGCGCGCCGATAGGGGTCAAAAGTCCTGGTGGAGGCGTCGACTGGCCTTGACTCCCGTCGACCTCAGATTCCGCTCGGATGCCATTTTGAACGGAGCTCAGTGACTGTAACACGGGCTTCGTCTCTGGGATGGGGGTCGTTTCAGGCGGAGCTTTTCGGGCGGCTGCACCCCCTTTCTTTGCACTTTTCTTGGGTGCTTTACGTCCTCGCGATGACATGATGGGTTCATCGTCACTTTCCTCGGCGCCATCGTCGAGATCACCTTGTTGCCGCCTTTCTTCAGCCTCGACCTCTGCTCGGTCTCTGATGACGATATCCGGAATCAGAGGTACAAGCTTGTCAGTCTCTTTTTGCATGAAGAGAGCGTGCTTTCGGAATAGATGGTCAGGATTGCTATTGAACTTGAGGCAGTTCTTCCAAATCTGATTGAGGTCATCCACGAATTCCTTCTTGGACTTGTAAGCAAATTGCTTAAGTTTCTTGGTCATGGTACCAAGATCCATGGGATGCTTGATGACGAGGTGATAGTCAGGAGCATCCTTCTTTTTGACGGGGTTAAGGAATGGCGTCGAGTGCTCTGTATGAGCCTTCAACTCGGTCAAGACTTTCTCCGCAGCCTCGTAGAGTTCTTCCTGCCCGATTTTGTCTTCACTTGCCCATTTGCTTCGGTTCTTGCGCACCTCGCTCATCAGAGCGCGCAGCTCCGACTCAGTGGCATGGACTAAGTTGCGATGTTCATCTAGACGCGCAATGAGGTTCTTAAGCGTCAGGCTTGATGCGCCGAGATTGGCCTTGCTCAGACTACCTTGCTGCATAGCAGCATTCTGTCGGTTAGCATGACCTTCTGCTTCTGCTTCGGCTCTGCGCTCTGCCTCGTCCAGACGTTGCTGATCCAACATCGCATCTCTGTCATTTTCAAGCGTGAAGAACATTGTGCGCGACAGGGTTTTGACAGTCTCGATTTCCTTGCGCTTCGCCTCTTCCAGCTTCTTGCGAGCATCCTCGGCATCTTCCTTCTGTTTGTTCTGTCCCGTTTTAAGAGCGGTCTTTGCCGAGTCGGAGGGAATGCTTGGGGGCGGAGCGGGCCTTGGGGTCGGCGACGAGGTGGCGTCGGCGATGATATGCATCTTATTCGGGTTGTTTTTGACCGAGGACGCGTTGGCCGCATCGGCGTCCAATTGCTCGTCGTCGTCGTCATCGTCATAATCATCGTAGTCGTCGTCATCCAATTTGCGCTTTTTTGATATAGGAGCAGGGGGCGGAGCGGATGATGCAGCGGCATCGGGCGCAGATTGTAGGAGAGAAGCGGCAGCAAGAGTGCGCCTTTGAGGAACTACAACTTGTCCGACATCATTGAACAGTGTCGCGAGTTTGCTCTCGGCATCTTGGAAGAGTGCGCGAAACCGGACAATCTGGGGATCTTCGTCGATGCTGGGCTCTGGCTCCGCAGCTTGGCCGGACTGGGAACCGCTCCCCAGACTGCGCAATTTGAACGAACTCGGCGTGTGTGGTCTGGAAGGCGCGCGGAGCAGACCATTTAGAGTATCTCTGTGTAGAGAGTGTAGAAGAGGTTCATCGTCTGGTGGTTTCTGACTGTTTGGGGGCGGCCATGATAGGGACATGGCCGTGCCAACCCCGACTGCGGCGAGGCGAGGGGCGTAACTCCTCCAGTTTGAAAAGGAAGCCTCAGCGCCGACGAGGCAATCGTGGGAATCGGCCAAAAATCGACGAGGCGGTACAGAGGGGTGCGTAGGCGCTCCTGCACATTAATTGAGAAGTATTTGCGCTGAATGGGTGGTGCTGGTGATAAAAATTGATGTCGACTGTTGATGCGATTACGCAGAGGCGAGGCTTGAGGTTGAAAGAAACGTTACAAACTGCGGTTGGGATTGAGTGAGGCAGCGGAGGCCCTAGGTGCCTTAGTGACTCCCGCCTGCCGAGCCACCGAGCCAAAGTTACTGGTACCTTGGGACCTTAGGTGGTCACTGGTAGGTGCACCTGCTTCTCCAACTCCTAGGCGACCTGGGCTCCTATATTTCCGGTCACCTTCCAGGCCTCACTCGATTCCAGCTCAACAACGACTTCAACCAAAGTGCTCAATTTGATTTCTTTTGACGCATCACAACTTGCCTCTGTACTTTTGCGCTGTTTCCCGCTGTCTAGCCATGTCCGAGTCTGCCTGAAGCTGGCATTCCGCCAGCCGAGTCCGACCAATCGCAGTCCCCGACATCGCATCTCTCGAGGTCCACCAGTTCGTTACCTGGCTGTCTTTCCACTGTCGACTGAATAGCGACCTCGACATAGACACCGAACCAACATAATGCGAATCCGATTTCCCTTCGCAAGTATGCAGGCCTGACTGCCTCTCACATTTATCTTGATGCTAACGAGTCAACTATAGTAACCTTCGTCATCCTCCTGGTCTTCTCCTCCAGTCTCGGCCTGCTCCCACACTCATCCCTTCCATCCACGCCAGCCGCCGCGCAACCATACATCCCTTCGCAGTCCGACAAGGCCCTCCACTTTATATGCTTCTTCCTCCTCACTGGGACCTTTTACTTCATCCTTGACACCTCTCGGCGCCGCGTGATTCATCTGACGTTGATTGTATGCACATTACTCTTGGGGGTGGGGAGTGAAATCGCACAGGGACTTTTACCCAATGATCGTGAATTTGACGCTTGGGATGTCCTGGCAAATGTCGTGGGAAGTCTCGCAGCATTGTCATTAGCGAGCGCTTACCATCGACGAGCAGCTGAACGGAGGAGGAGAGCGAAATACTCTGCACTGACGGGTGACGGCCTGGAAGGTGAAGATCTAGAGCTTGGGGAGGGCGCCAATGGTACTCTACGCTCGCACGACGTAGACGGCGACGGAGGTCAAGAGACAGGTGTCACACCAGCACGGACGGTGGAGGAAGAGCTGGACAACTGGGACGAAAACGCACCAGATGATGCCTGGGATGAAGACGACGATACGACCGCAACGAGCGGGCAGCACACGAAAGTCACCCCTTCAACGAGCTCTGTGGCGAGCGAGGAACCACCCACGAAAGTTGCAGTAGACTGACCAGGCAGGACGAAGGTGTCTAGTATATGTTAGGAACGGGATGAGACGACACGGGCTACATGAAATATTCAGCTGACTGAATCGAAACACAAATATATCCACGGAATGTACGACTATTGTCCTGCAACGCGCGTCTGGGCAGATGGCGATGATTTAGACCTTTGTCAGAAATAGTAATGAAGAGAACCGACCGGAAATCATCGAATCACTCTTTCATGATGCAGAGAAGTATATACTACACTGTTTCTTGGGATTGACTGGTTGCTATTCGTAGCAAAGCAGGCTACTCTCTGGCAATGCTTCGTTGACCTTGCTGATCCTGCCTTTCGTAATCTCGATATTCGAGTCTTTGGGATACCTAACTACCCTTATACATTGCTGTGTTCGTTTCGCTTCATAAACATGATGGCCCAATTCCACAAGGACGTTGGCTAGTATTTGTTCTCGTCCCCCTTGAATGCTCCATCTCGCCATTGAAAGCCCACGTTGTTCCCCCACCGGGTGGCAGATCTAAGCCTGACAATCATTCCTTGTCCCTGTCCATCGTGTCTCATGTTCTGCATGTCTTTTCAGGCAATTCGGTATGGCCTAGCGAAAGCAGCTAAACCTCCCACAGCTGATCCGGAAGGGATTCCTCCTGACGCCGTGACGGCTAACAGTGACTCCACCGCCAGCGTGGCGACCGCCCCAGTTCCTGATCTCGTCGTTAGCTCTTGTTTGCATCGCAATGAGAGAGTGTCGGCCAGGATGACACTGTTTTCCCATAGAAAATTTTTTTGAGAGAGGGTCGACTTACTTGGTGTAAAGGAAAGGCATGATCGTTGGTCTTTTGTTCGTAGTGTTTTTTGGCTGGGGAGGGAGGTAGGCTAACGACGCGGCGAGGAGTGTTGGTTCGCGGTGTTCCTGATTGCAGAATGGTTTGGTAGTGCGAGTAACTCACGAAGAGAATGAGTGCTATTGGTACGGTCCAGACGCACGATGAGGGCCAAGTGACAATAGAAGTGGATTGTGAAACGAGAGGTTACAGTGTAAGGGCCAGAAGATATCTTTCACTGGGGAAGTCGCAGCTGTTATATGCTAGCAAGTCAGTAAGTACAACCTGCGGAGGCTGGAAGAGTTCTTGGTATGACGCTCTGCAACATTCAAGTGACTCGGCATAAGGGGGCGTTTTGCCAAGGACATCGAGGTGCCAGTTTAGAGTGAAAGCAGGCTTTTTGGCTTTGCAACATGTCGAGATTGATTCGAGATGGGCAGTCGAACAAGAACCTGCCACCCTCCAAGCCACGCGCCGTGTTGGAACTTGAAGATCAAATGACGTAAAGCGGCATTCAGCCTCGTCGTTCACGTGCCAGTCACGTTGATCATAAACAATGCTGCTTTGAACATGACCAGCAACAACCTCATCCCAAGTTGATTTGCTGTCACCACCATGTCTCCATCTTCAAAACAAGGGAAATCACCCTGATACTTGTAAGTCCTGCTAAGATGAATCCATTACTCCAAGCGCTACCCTACTTTAAAGCGATCAGGCCAAGAGATGGTCAGCCTTAGAATATCCGACTTTCAGGCTTGGGACCCAACTACATGAAACGCGCTTCCCCTGGGTTGCGCGAGGCTCTGCTACAAGATATCACACCACCTCAGCCTCCTGTCTGGCGACTCTAGTCGAATGGTTGCTGTATCTGCCTCCGCATGCTCTACTCCAGGACGGTCTCTATCGCTGCTCTCACCACCAATGTGGCTCCTCAGTCCACTGCCCCCCGCTTCTTCAACCCCCCGTCTCAGGTGCTGGCTCAATGTGTATCAGATCGTCATCGCTTGGCCAGAGACGAGAACTTCATATGTCGCCATTCCCTCCTTATCACACCACTGTTGGTCGTCGCCTATGGAAATAGTTAGGGCAAATATCCTTATAGATCTTCTGGGCTATCTGCCAAACATGGAATATGAACATGCCGCAGGCTCGGTTTTTCTCTGTCTTCTCTTTTTGCATTGTCAACTTTTTGCTTCATTAAGCTAACACGACTTCGAAGACGCCGCTGGTCGGTCCATAGCATTTCTTTTCTTGCATTTGACTGTCCGACTCATCACACAATATCCCAAAAACCACTTGGACGTCGGCTGGCCCCGTTCAACAGCAGACATAATCCCGCGATCAACTTGCCACGACGTCACACAGAGACCTCCAAGCCTTCAAACATCTCACCGGGGGCCCGTTAACATATTCAACAACCCACACGCCTGACTTGTCGACGTTGCCAATCATGGCGGAAAGATCAAGGTCAACACCATTAATGCGAATGCTCCTCTCAGGAGAGGTCAGTGGAGAAGAGCCTAGAGATTTGTCTCCCAAAGAGAAGTTCAATAGATGGATGGTCAATGAAGGATCTCGCCGTCTGTTCGTCGGTATCTTTATACTCGCGCACTGCATGTTGTACGGCTTCGGCTTTATGAACTATCAGCTCAAGGACAACCTAACCAAAGCCCGCGCCACCTTCGGCTACGGCTATCCCATTGCTCGATCTGCAGCCCTGGTACTACACTTCGATGTCGCCTGCATTCTTCTACCGGTCTGTCGAACTCTCATATCGCTCGTTCGACAAACACCGCTCAACGGAATCATTCCCTTTGACAAGAACATTACGTTTCACAAACTCGTGGGCTTTTCCATTGTGTTCTTCACGTGGGTCCACACTATCGCTCATTTACACAACGTGGCACAACTCTCTGCAAAGAACAACGGAGGCTTCATCGGTTTCGTCAAACTCAACTTTCTCACAGGCCCCGGCTGGACCGGCTACATTCTCACAATCACCATCATGCTCATGTTTTTCACCGCCCTCGAAAAGCCTCGACGGGCCAATTACGAGCGCTTCTGGAATACCCATCATCTCTTTGTCATCTTCTTCATCTTCTGGTCTATCCACGGCGCGTTCTGCATGATCCCGGCTGACAACAAACCGTTCTGTTTCGGCAACGGCTCCTTCTATCTGTACTGGATGGTAGGGGGGTTTACCTATCTCGTGGAGCGTGTCCTACGCGAAATCCGTGGCTATCAGAAGACTTATATAACCAAGGTGATCGAGCACCCCTCGAACGTGGTCGAGATCCGGATCAAGAAAGAGCACACCAAAACCCGGGCAGGCCAGTACATCTTCCTATGTTGTCCGGAGATATCACTCTGGCAGTACCATCCATTTACGCTCACGTCTGCGCCCGAAGAGGACTATCTCTCTGTCCATATCCGCATGGTTGGCAATTTCACCAAAGCCCTAGGGAAAGTACTCGGATGTCAAGGTCTCAAAGCGATCGACGACAAGAAAGGCCCGTACTCTGAAGACGTGTCTACAATTGACCAGAACGGTGAGAAGTTCACCAAACTTCTCCCGCGGCTGTACATCGACGGGCCCTTTGGATCCGCCTCGGAAGACGTCTTCAAGTTCGAGACCGCGCTCTTGATCGGCGCGGGTATTGGGGTGACGCCATTCGCCTCGATCCTCAAGTCCATTTGGTACCGCATGAGAGACGCGGGATCCTCTGCTCCAAGGACGCGACTACGCAAGGTGTACTTTTTCTGGGTGTGCCGAGATTTTGGATCGCTCGAGTGGTTCAAGTCTCTACTCACGGCGATTGAGAACGAGGACAAGAGCCACGCCATTGAAATTCATGCGGTACGACTCACGTTCTTCACCCCCCCCCCCTCCCCCCTTATTGTCCCTTTTTGAAACTCCCACTAACACGTCCTTTCAGTACTTGACCGCCAAAATCACCGCCGCCCAAGCATCCAACATCGTCTTGAATTCCGGAGACACTGACGCCATCACGGGCCTCCGCACCGCGACCAACTACGGCCGCCCGAACTGGGACATGGTGTTTCGCGGCATCCGCAAGATCCACTGGCCGGGCGAGTGCGGCGTCTTCTTTTGCGGTCCAAAGGGCCTGGGGGCGGACCTGCACGTCAAATGTAACATGTACACCGAGGCGGGGGACAAAGGGTTCAGTTTTGTTTGGGGCAAGGAGAATTTCTAGACGGCGACAAAACAAGTCCGATGTATCGGGGTATAGGAGTATGAGTATGTATTATTATGTGCCTGCCTGACTGCTTGCTGCCTTTCTCTTTTCTCTTTCTGTTTCTGTTTCTTGTCTCTGTCGTGACTCCGAATGGCGTCTTGTCCTTCGTCCTCGTCCTTGTTGATCAATATAACGCGACATCCCTCGCTCAAGAGCTCTCCTCTTTGAGATATACTCGGCACAGTAGACCTCGACATTCGATGTGAAGTGAGGTGAGATGATGTATCAACGGCACACACGAGAGCACGGCAATGGAGAATTTCTACTCAAGGATTCATTCCTCATTTCTTCCCTGCTTCGTTGTATTCTCCTCTTCCAGAGGACGTCGTCCATCAGCCTCGTGTGTACCGAGTACTCAGAACCAACAACGGTGACTACATGGCCACGATGACTCGACAAGACTATCCGGTATCCTTTATTCCACCGCTTACCACTGCTGCAGCAGCAGTTACAGAGGTTAAACCGCGCCTTGGGTATTCCCACAAGTTCCTTCGCAGAAAAAGCAATGCCGGTCAGATTACTGTAAATAGTGTAACTCGTCAAGCATTATTTCATTCATACACATATACCCAGTGCTAGGAGGGCCAGCGGGTCAGAGAAAATCAACATGGTCCTCGCCAGCACTAGCAATGGCATCACCACTATCACCAGCAATATCTTCCACCACGAGACCTTGTATACAGTCATCATCTGTCCGCTCGGCTCAAACTTCTAAGCACTCCCCCAAGATCTCTTGGGGGGCTGGTCCCCGATCGTACTCCCAGCGCTTTCTTCGTCCCTTCTTTTTCTCGCTGTGTCAATTTCTCGGCGCATATGGCTAAAGCTCTTCCTGCCACGCCGTCTGCTGCGGTTCGATACTGCGCTATCCTGTGGATCCCGTCTGCGAATTTGTCGACTGTCGGGCCTATCGATTCCAAAATGTCACCTAG